AAAACTCCCTTGAGCAGATTTCCAGGTGGAATATTTTGCCACAGTTTGATACACAAGCACCCAGCAACTGCAAGCCAAGACAGTGAAATAAGTATCGCAGTAAAAAGACAGCCACTCATTATTTACAGCACATTTTAACAGCAGGTGAGTTTAGAGGTGGGATTTGATGACAACAGTCTGAAATTATCTCAATAATTTAAAGACAGAAATCTAAGAATAGAGCAGGTCATGTGACAGTATTAGCTCACAATGACTCAGACAAACAGGTCTCACAGTCCTCATTTCATTTAAATAATACTGGCGTGGAAAGGGTCTTCTTTCCTGTATCCTTTTAAAGGAAATGGGTTTGCAGCCCAAATGCCAGTAAACTGTACTTCTAACCCCAAAACTAGAGAGGTGTTTGACCCAATCTATTGATTTATTAAACATTTGCAGTTATTTGTGATGCCATTTTTATACAATAAATTAAATAGTAAAGCAACAAACTTACATTAAGAGCCTGCATCGCCACATGAGGCACTTTGTGGTTGACTCTCTTCATAATGGATCTTAAGCTGTCCTTTGGTCTGCAACAGAAGGGAACACAGTCTGTGGATTGAGGGTACTGCTGATGTCGTCAAGTATGAAACACTTTCAAATTAAGTGTCCGGGGCCACTGGGCTGCTCAAATCAAAATGTGCCATTAATTTTCAACGGAAGATGGCACTTTCAAGCTTACCCATTGGCTGTTGTTCCAATCTTATCACAGATGTCCATGATAAGTGCCCAGTCATCTGTTGTGTTGTTTTCATTGGTTGCCTTCTCTGGAAATATGTAAAATGCAGATTTAGTGCATATGCTCCAGTGAGAAAATAACTCCAATGGCATTGTGGGTGCTTATCTCCAAAGAAAATGTGGGAAGACATGCCAAATGCATGGTGTAATATAAAAATGAGCCGCAAGCCCTTAACTGGCACATTGTACATCTAATTTATGTTATACTGTCACCTATCGAACTCAAAATGAGTGTGGAAGAGTTCTATAAGCCAACTACATGTTGCTGTTTTTATTGTGCAACCTGTTCCTAATGGCCTATTGTGACAAGACACTTAGAAATCCCATGTAAATATTTAAGTACTTTAAACTGTGACCCGTTCAGCAGCTGACAAGCTAAAAGAAAAGCCTCATTAACAACTGAACTGCATTATCTTCTGAGTTAAAAGAAAAATCACAACATAAACCATATTGATCTCTACGATATTGATGTTAAGTCGTGTTCTGACATGCAAAGTGACCTGCCACTGTTTCATAATATGCTGGTAGCAAATTACTTGTATGACGTTTCCGACTCATAGTGTCACTCCCATGACTCTCTAGTGCAATAGTGCTCTATTGTATGGTCATACAAGGACTATAGTGTTGCACAGTCAGATAAAGTTGTTCAGCCAGGAAGTGTCTATGAAAATTTACATAGGATAAGCCTAGGAAAACACATAGGATAGCTGACAAATTAAAGGGAAACACGATATAAAATGTCTTAGAAAGGTGCTGGGTCATTAGAAAGGCTTGGCATGGATTTTCCAAGACTCTAGACCTCAACTACAGGAAAACAACACCCTTTAAAAATAAATAAATAAATAACATACATATCCCTTTATTTTATGTTTAAAAAATGGTGGTAGAAAGTGAGGTTTAACACACTGGTCCAAAATCTTCCATAAATGTTCAACTGGGTTAGGAGCTCATGAGTGTGAAGTCCATATTATTTAACTCATATACCTTATAGATAACCCGTTTGTCATGTGGGAAGAGACTATTCATCAGAACAGGAAGGTCATAGGACATCAGCGATTATTGCGAACAACTTACATTTGTTTTCACTGACAGTTCTCGCTAAAGGGACACCCTGACCCAAACAATGCCAGCAGAAGACTGCCACAATATGTTAAATCAGCAGGATTATCGCCATGCTGGGGTGAAACATTCAGAGTTTTCCTTTAATTTTACACCCATCTGAATACAGACAGATAACAACCAAACCCGAAAGGCCAGAGAGTGATTGATTAATTAGACTTGACCAAGCTTTTCTAATTAATCATCAGCCGGAGAGAAAAAAAGGTTTCAACAATTGTAATCATTAATGACTCATTACTATATTATTTTCACATTTAACTATCCAATGACGTATCAACTCCAAATACTGAAAACAGGCATCACTAACAATTGCAGCCCACGGACACATCTTCAATCCACTTCTTTTTTTGTCTAACCAATACACCAATATGTAAACCTCATTTAGTTTCTACATAAAACAAAGGAAAACACCAAATCCTCCCAAGTGAAACGTCAAGTGAACCGCAATGGGGATTTCACCGTTTTCGAGCATCAACAAAGTATACGCTTCAACGAAAACAGAAAAAAAGATAAAGGAGATTTAAACGAATGGTATTTGTGTGATAAAGTAGATAAAACTAGAACCATAAACGTATTTTGAGTTGATTTGGGATCAGCTGATCTTGTAATGGCGGTTATCCTGTGAGTTTATATGAATCACCAAGTTTTTTTTTTTCTTACAAAGCAATCGCTGATACTAACAAATGAACTGGAAACTTAATAAAAGAGGTCGACAACACATCAATATGTCAGGTACAAACTAGCAAAGGCTAGCAGGACTGGTATATGGTGTTGTAACAAAAATTGGCAGCCCTAAAGTAACTTATCACGTAGCGCTAGCGAATAAACAACTCGAGCTAAGCTAGCATTAGCCTCTAGTGTGACTGGCCCTATCGTTAGCTTCTGGCTGTGACACACTCAAAGGGCCAAAGAGACAACAATTCACTTACCAACATCTTGGTCAAATGGATTTTGGGAAAATAAAGGCATGTTAACTATTTATAAAGAGGCAGACTTTGTGATGAAAAAAAGTACGTGCGTTCTTCAGGCTAAACCTAAACAAATATCGCTTCCTCGTCCATCTAACTCTCACCAGTTGCTCTTCCGGAAATTTGGCTGTCTCCAATAATGCCTGTTTACAAAAAATAAAAATAAGAAATAAAAATACTAAGCAACTGAGTCTGTAGCACCTTTTCCTTTAATTGTGTTATTTATTTTATTTTATTTTTTTACATTTTTACTTAGTGGAAATATAGCGCTGTGGCATTACATATACTTAAGCAATTAAGGGTGACACCTTTTTTATGGTTAAAGAGAAACACTGGCATCTAGTGGGGTAATAATGGATGTGGGCTCAGCATTGTTGCCCCAATGATACATCCACAAAGTATTAGCTTTTAGGTAAATAAATTATTATATATCACCACAATTTTTCTACACGGGTCCTCATATTTATTTAAAAATTCAGCACTGCAGTGGTCCTTAGCAAAAAGGGGAAACTGGTATTTTTAAGAGTCACTGTGGTGAAACGTTATTATCTGGGCATTACCTTCAGGCATTTCTTTTTAATGCAGATTTCACTAGCATCAAAAACCAAAATCATCTTCTTGTACAGTCAATTGTGACTCTTCAGTTTCAATGACAGTGACATAGAATTCTTTAAAAGTGCAGAAGCCATCATAAGAGCCGTTTTATTGTAGAGTATGGTTCCCTAAAGCATAAGCACAGGTGTCTATCTAGATGTAGTTCAGGTCAGTTTAACCTCTTAAGAATGGAATAGAACACAATATAAAAGAATGGAATAAAAAAATAGTTTATTGCTACTGAAAATGGTAAAATGCATTAAGTGGTTGGTGGAGTATTTTTTTACACAACTAATTAAAAAAAATAGCTAAATATTACAAAGAATAAATATATGTAAAAAGCATAGGTGTATATACAAAGCTGGTATATACAAAGTTAAAATTAAATAAAAACTTGGTATTGTAGTAGTGTCATGAAAAATGTATTTCAAAATGACAAATTTGACAAGAACGATTTTGAAAGTTACACAAGAGCTATGTTGATTTTGTATGTTGATTTAGAGTCCAAATGACCTTGGGGAAGAATCTGCTCATGAGTCTGGTGATCTGTGTTTTGAATGACCTATTATTAGTGGGGGCAACAGGTCAAACAGATGAGGAATAGAGAATTGAGGAACTAACTTGAATTTGATGATATATTTTGGCTGTGGATCTGTTAGTGTGTATTTGTGGTGTTTGCCAAGCGCAATAAGCAAAAATCATTGTTGGGCTTGTTTGTAGATTTGACCATTATCAGTTTCACAATCAATTGCTTGGTTGTTTGTGAGAAAATTACTTGCCATTTTTAAAGCAACTTAGTTTCCCCGGTTCTTAAAAGCTGGCCCAACTCTATTATTAGGTTTCTGACTGCTGGTGAAACGTTCAGTATTCCTGAAAATAAGTAATAGAATAGAATAGGCCTTTACTGTCCTTGTACATATACAAAGAAGCTGTGGTAATTATGTTCAAAGAAATAAATGCATAAAACAATAAATAAATAAATGTATGTAAGAATAAGTACGCAAGTAAATAAAAATAAATATAAAGTAAATAAAAATAAAGTAAATAAGATTAAATCAAATCAGAAGGAGAACAATAAACTGGGGATTTATTAAAGGTTGAATACACTGAGAAGCAATAAATAAATAAATAAATATTTTAAACATTGGGTCCTCCATAACGATACTTTCATTGCTGATTAGCAATTCCAAGTCAGAACAATCAAATATTCTGTGCCACTTATTTGCCGCAGAAAATTATTCATTATTTAGAAAACGAATAAGGCAATGTGAAGAAACACAAACCGGGCCCCTGAAACAGGGTGACACAAACCGCCACCTGCAGTCACAGGACCTGACGATGATAACTCAGTGATCCTGCACACTCTGCGGGCAGTAATTTAGTTAAATAAGGCAAATAAAAATATTTTAAAACATAAACTTAAATAAGAGAATAAATACATATATTTTTGATGTTTTAAAAATGAATATTTAGTTAATTGTTTTCATTTATTTATTTTTAAACTACGCTTCTCAAAACGAAGACGGAAGTGAGGTGAAGCGAACATCCCGTTTCAGTACGACACTTCCTGGTGTGGCCCATGTTCCTTTCCTGACAGCCGCCGTCGTTCAGGAGCGGAGACCGTTGATAGTTGCAGTTATGTCGGCAGCTGCTTCGGGAACCAGCAAGGCGGCCCACGGCGATGTGGCTGCGAAGAGAAAGAAGGGACCCGGTGCCCTGGCCACGGCATATCTCGTCATTTACAACGTTGTTATGACAGCGGGGTACGTAGCGTGTTTCCTCGTGCTAATGCTGCTGGGTGGTGGATGATAGAAATGTCTCTGGTGGTGCTGATGGGCTGTGCTAAATAATGGGCGAAGGAGTTCCCCATTGTAGTGTTACAGCGTTAATATTCTTCCAGTTTTTTGCAGTTATTAATGTCATAAACATGCCTAAGCGCGCTAAGGAGAAGCACAACTTTGGACGTTGTTCCTCCTGCATCCAACGGCTTACAAAGATTAACATTAGAGGAGCAACAGACAGCCACCTGGCGTGGACATTAATTGTGACTGACGGGACGCTACTCCATACAGTACAGGAATATTATGACAGATATTCATTGTGTGCGGGTTTTTTTTTGTTGTTGTTTTATGTCAGAAAGTGCGGGTTCACGCATTGGACGTGCTGTTTTGTTGGATTACTGAGATTGATTTTTGTTTATTTAGCACCCGCTCAAATGAATGAGAGAGAATTATGAAAATGAAAGAAAGATTATCGTAAATGTTACCAAAACCACATGTGATAGTTTATAATATTAAAATAAAGTAATCTTTTTAAGGACTGAAAAGACAATTCGGTGATTTAAATGAGATTTTTTTAAACCTACAAATGAGTTGTTGTTGTTTTTTAAAGTGTATGTTTGGAGAAAGAATACGATTGTGATGGAGGTTGTTGTTTTGCATTTTCAATAATGCAAACATATTTTCTTAGCTTTTCAAATGGTAGTTATCTTGAACTGTGTACACAGTAATCCTTTTGCAGATTTTATTGCTCTGATTTTCAGACTGTTGCACAATTGAATGGTGACTTGTTTGCTGACTGTTCCAACCAGTTAGGCCACATTTACCCTCCTCAGTATTGACGGCCTGTACAGTGCTTGCTTTGTGCTGAGCACTTAGGGTGTTTTTTTGCAGGCACAGTTTTGCATATTCAGCCACAGCCGCTAAGCAGACCTGCTCAGTTTCTGCCTAACTGGCCCCAGAGTTGATATCAAATGCAGCCAAGATGGAGATTAAGAGTCATTAAAACCAGAGTGTGAAATGAAACTTTCTCTGAATTAATCTTAACTACATTATTTTTTATTTAGTTCGCGTCTGACATTTCCAGCTCAGGGACCAATCCTTGAAATGAGGAAAAATATATACAAAGAATGGTAGCACAAGGTGGTCCAGCACCACCACTAAGCACCCACTACACTCAGTAATAAGACCTCTTAAATATTTTTTTTTCTTTAACTTGTTACCTCTGTGTGTGTTGTGTTTTTCTGTGTGCACATGTTTGCCAAAAGATGCAAAAATTGCAGCTGTTTTAATGGCTGCTTTTGACTGTATGTCACATAAACTACAGACGCATCATAAGATGTTTATTTCTACAGCAAGATCATCTGGTAGGCCTTGTTTTTCATTTATGAAGTGACCGTATTGCATTTTCCTCTACTGTTTAGGTGGCTGGTGATAGCTGTGGGTTTGGTTCGAGCTTACCTGGCCAGAGGAAGCTACCATGGGCTGTATTACTCCATAGAGAAACCTCTGAAGTTCTTTCAGACTGGAGCTGTTCTCGAGGTGAGATAACCACTAAAGGTGTGGCATAACTGATAAAAACTGAGCATGCAGCAGGTGTATGGTCTGTTGAATATGTGGTATTATTTCAGAGGTCACTACTATTGCTCATATCAGCACACACTATCAGTTTTGTATGTAGAGACTAGTAATGAGAAAAAAACCATTTTATTAATCCAGCATTAGCCTTTTGACACATATAGGGCAAACTAATAATGGACAGTGTCTAACAGTGTCTTTGAGTTTGGTATGCCCTGATAACTGATAACTTAACATGCCTCTCCGTACCATGTTGAAGCCACACAGTTAATGACTTAAGGATTTTAGTTTCTATTTTAAGTATTTTAAAATCCTAAAATTATAGTTTGGTGCAAACTACAAATGAATATCATTTTCTAATGTTTTTCAACACTAGGTTAAAAAATCTATGTAGACATTCTTTTAGCCTTACATGTGTTTAGAGTGGTCATGCTAACACACATACTGACCCAGATGTGTGTAGTGAGTGTTAGAGGTGTTGCAGTGATGCTGTCCATACGCATTGTATACTTAAAGTCAATATATTCCATTCATCAAATGACACATGCACTGACCGACCTCAGCTTAGTTAGGTGATCAAAAATAGGACCAATGATTTTTGACTTGGTTCAGTGACTCTCAGCATTTTGTTTGGATAGAATATATAATGTATTAACGGGGTAGGTATTTGGAACATTTTTTATAGGAAATCTTCGAGTTCTTCTGCGTATAAACTGGACCAACAGTAGCTAGAGTTAAAAATGTGTCCGTGTACTTTATTCCAGAAACAGATTGAGTCAATTTCTATGATCATTTTCCTCTTTTACAGATACTGCACTGTGCTGTAGGTGAGTTTCTCCTCAGACTGCACCCTCCCTCACTTACACTTGCTTCGTGTCACCAGTGAAGCACAGATTAGATTTAGATCCATCCATTGAGTCATCCTTTTAGGTAAAGCTTCCTCACCAGGTACCCAGGACTAAAGTTTTATATATCTTCAAAGGGTAATGTGCAGAAATGCTTAAAAACAGCTGTTTAATTTGATTAAGCTTCTTTTTTTTTAACAAGGAAGGGAAATTCTTGAAGGACCTTTGTTTGTGAGGCAGTGTTAACCTAATGTGGGTTTTTTTGATGGTGGGAAAAGCCCGAGTTCCTGGAGAAAACCCACACAAGCACAGCGAGAGAACACTGTCTGCACACAGAAGAAGCTCCCAGGCGTTAGTCCTTACCACTGAGCCACACGCTGCCCACTGAAACACAGTTATAAATACAGAAGCAAATACAGTGGCTTGCAAAAGTATTCGGGCCCCTTGAACTTTTTCACATATTTCCTCTTCCATATTGTAAGCTAGGTACCCATGTCAGAAATGGAGTACATTGATTGTTTGTTTTTTATCAATTTGATCATGCCTTAAACACATGGCACATAAATATGTGTATTTAGCGTTTAATATGGTGTAAGTATTTTAGGCAGCTCTCTGATTTTATCCCCAAAAGAGGGAACATCCTCTGGGAGACTGTTTGGTGTGCTTCCCATTAGACCAGTTCCAGATAGTCCAGATACAGCGAGCATTAAAACTCTTCTAGTGACTCAAATTTACTTCACTTTTTCTCAGTATGACCTTCAGTTACCTCTGCTACAGGGTGAAATATGTTAAAGATGCTGGAGAAATCGAGTATCAGATGTTTGTTGTTTACATTCCGAACAGAATATGAAGTAACCTTGATGGCTGTTTAGTTAATGACACATTTGGGTGGTTTTAAATTTGTAGATGGCTCGTTTCTTTTCTAAACCAGTGCTATTTATTCCAGAGGTTTGAAAAATGTAGTTTAATTTGTGAAATCTTTGACCTTCACAACCAAGTTAACTCATCTTTACTGGAACACAGACACCCAGTTGCACCTTGTTGTTTGATCCTCAAACACGTCATTTTTTTACTGGGCAACGCATGTTTGCAGATCTCATATTGACAAATCGGATAACAAAGCTTGATATCTCAGTTTACAGTTTTGACAGAAGACATAATTATGAGTCGTGAAATCGCATTTGTAGATGTAAGTCAGATGTAAATATGTACAGACAAACAAAACCTTTTCACATCTGAAGTGTGTACAAAAAAAGAGGGCAGAGAAGCTGTTTGCTTACGTGGCGTTAATGTGATGAGGAGAGTGGCTGTGGCCCGGTTGGCCACGGTTGTAATGCACAAACCTTTCTCTCCGTTATCCAGGATTTGAAGCTAAAGCTAACTGACCTTTCATACTGTAAACAGGCTACCCGAGGCTGCTGTCCACATACACACACACACTGCATCATCATTTATAACTGTCCTATATGTGGATATGTTACTCACAAAGTCTCTCATCAGCATCTTTCTCAAATGTACTACTTTAAAAATTACATTATTATGATTATTATTATTAGCAATTTTAAATTTTAGTGAAAAGCTACATTTAGACTGTGAATGGAAGTAGGGCTGGGCCATATTATACCGTTCACGGTAATACCGGTATAATGTTAGGCAACGATAGGAAAATGAAATATCGCGATAGAATGAGTAAAACGCGCATGCGCAGTGCCTTTGTTTTCATACGCACATGGCCGATTGTTGAGTGAAACAGATGAACCAGAATTGGTTTGTAAAAATGGTGCAACTTCCGTGATGTGGAACTGGTTTGGTGTTTGTCCGTCAGATACACAACAAAGCACATTTTTTTGCAGAACATGCAAGCGGCCGTCGTTTATAGGGCTTCGGAGCGTGATGTCACGGGGGTGGGCGTGGAAAGGATTTTGGCCCGATTCACCATTTTGGGGGTCTAAGCTAGGAGCGATAGCATAGCCATGGTTCGTACTTGCTGTGTGCTCGGCTGCAATGTTCGATCTTACGACCGGCACGGGAATAAGGTTGGATTGTCTTTTTATGCTTTCCCAACCTGGAAGCAACATGAAGGAGCTCATGTATCGGATATTACCAAACGAAGGCGTCTAGCCTGGATAGCAGCCGTGAGACGAGCTGATATCAAGTTCTGTTACGTCTCCAGATATCAGCTGGTGTGCTCACGACATTTTCATTCCGGTAAGTTCTAAATATGTTCATCACGAAGGAGTGACTTTGCAGACATATGTGCTATGTAACGATTCGCTAATTGTTTCGCACAAATGTAGGGAAGCCTGCCTATGACACTGATTGGCGTTTATAATTTGCCCGATTATCAATGTGTTAATTTGCATCTACTATACAATTATGGGCACATAATATGATAACGATATTTTAACAGTTCAATGATAAAGATTTAACATTAATTATGGTGGGGGGTGGAAAATGGCTATGTCACTCGATGCACTCCAGCTGACGTACCTTAGTATGAATGACGACGTACTCAGAGTTTGCGGTGAATGCCAAACTGCACCCGCATTGTTGCCGAAAATAGCCAAATCTTGCACCCAGCCATTTGTAAATTGGATATGCGCCTCCAGTGACTTGTAATTACGAAACTGGTTCGCAGTGTAAGCACTTACTCCACAAACAAGATAGGTGAAGATATCGGGGTAGGACAGTGGCGGTAAGTCGTCTGGGTCTTTACTCCACTGCCGTATGTCGTATGGGTCCAGATTTGCGATGCACTCAATTTTTTTCAAATACCGCTGCTTCGCCTCTGGACGCAATCGATCTCTATACCGTCCGTTTTCTTTCGAGCTGCTTTTAAGCGTGTTTCTTGTCGTAGTCGCCGTTCCAATACAGTGTATTTGTTTGGATCGTAGACCCCGAAAATGGAGCTGCGCTCCCACAATGCATTGCGGCGTGACGTCAACTCCGAAGCCCTATTGTCGTATTTGTCAGGACTAAGATGCTCTTAAATCTGGGAGTAATCTGGGTCCTAAACTCCGTATGCTTCAGGTCAAACGAACACTGCAGCATCACTGAGAGTTAAAAACTGTCTAAATTCTTTCATCTTTAATAAAACGATCAGCATTGCTGCTTTACCAGGTGTAACTATGAAGTTTAACTTCCAGGCATCCATGAAAACAAAATTTATTACATTTAACGGAGTTAGAAGTTAGCAGGAAGCTAGCGGAAGTTAGCTCGCTAGTTTCGCTAGTTACCTAAGCATGATATAGCATGTTCTGACTGAGAGATTTCTGAAAAAAATCAAACGTACAGCTCTGCTATCACTTCCAACATAAATGAAGACAGGAAACTAAACAGCAGTGACGTTTGTAGGGTTACTGAAGTTGGGCTAGCTGGTATATAATGATGTGCTACGTGATCGCTAGCGAACACAGCTATGTTAGCATAACATAAACAGTGAAGCTGGAGGACGAACACTAACACTTTTCCACTTATAAAAGTTAACGTGAGGTCCTATGTTAGAGACAAATGCAATCGCATGGCAGGATGCTGTAAACGGACCAAACTTCAGTCAGGAGAACAACTGAGATAATCCATCCACAATACGAGGTTAGTCATTAATATACTGCAACAACATGGGAATAGAGCAGCTGCCAGAGAATTCAACATTAATGAATCAATGGTACAGAAGTGGAGGAAGCAAGAAGAATGAGTTTAATAAAGTTTGATTTATCTGACTGCTTTGTTTCGCTTAATGTGCCTTATAATCCCGTGCACCTTATGGTCCGAAAAATACGTACTGCACACTGCAGTTTAATGTTGCAAAGCACCTCTTTTTAACTTCAGTGGATATTATACATGGTTATGCTCAGGATATGTCAGCCCATTTCTACTGGAAATGCCTTTTGGTTAAACTTTCAGCAAGGAATTTGCATTTGCACTGTTACATTTTTATAAAGCTTTAATGTACATAAAAACCAGCTTCTTGTTTAAGTGAAAATAAATGGAAGGTTGTCTTTTTGCGCTAGTAATGTTGTGGAGTTGTATTTTGTCTCGCATCAATTATATCGTCAGTTATATCGTTATCGCAAATTTTCAAATATATATCGTGATAAATATTTTTGGCCATATCGCCCTGCTCTAAATGGAAGCTTAGTCCCACCATAACAACATATGACCCTTGAGGTTCCTGGGAACTCCCACAAAGGTGGTTAGACATTGTGGCAAGTGTTTACATGTCTGTCTGTCACTCTGTGGACACATTTTGTTAGTGTGGTAAAGTCATAACTGTGCAAGGTACCGCCACAAAGCTTTGCAGATGTGTAGCTGAGGCCAAAATGAACGTGGGCTCAAATATAGTTGTGCTCTGATCTATGATTGCAGGGCCAAATATTGATTTAAAGGAGAACAGATGTTAATAAATGGTTCATTGTTTGGTATGGACCTTTGTTTGTGTTACACATTTGTAACTAAGTTGTATACAAAGTATACAAAAATATAATAAAAGTGCTTAATATTTCCTTATAGCAGTTTAAGCTCTTATGTGCTACATACTGCTAGTAAAAAACAAAACAAAACTATACATCAGGACAGGTGTAACACGTTTAATATTCAGAATTAAACTGAATTAACTATTGAAAACAACATATTCTTTCTTCGTCTTTTTTTCTTCTTTTTTTGTCATCACTTAGGACAGATTCATCTATTTTCTTTCTTTCTTTCGATCAAACTTTACTGGAATTGTCACTGGGCAAACAGAGCTCTTGGTGACTGCCATGCATTTGACCCGTACAGAGGAGCAGCTAAAACACGTGAAGTGTGAGTTAACACAGTGTACATGCAGAGCGTCTGCAGGCTTTCAAGGTTAACCTGTCTATAGCTGATGGACGGCAGCTGGTGCATTGCAGAAATGTTCCGCGCTTTACAATTAATGTTCTGAAAGTGACTGTGTAGACATGAATAGATTTTCTGTATAGCTGAAAGGGTGTACCAAAGAGAGGACAGTTTTAGTCAGCTGTACTAAAACCAGTAGTCTTGCATGCTTATATGTTCAGTGTTTGTGTGTTGCCTCATCTCCCAGGAATCGTACCATCCTCTGTGGTCCTGACTGGATTCCAGGTCATGTCCCGGGTCTTCCTCACGTGGGCTGTCACGCACAGTGTCAGAGAGGTACAGCGAGTTTCTTTCCTTTTGCTACTTGTGTAAACTGAACTTGAATTACACCGTCCTTCTACGTCGTTTCATTCACTTAAATTCAAAATTGACCAGCTGATCTACTGTTTGCCCTGTTTGTAGCTTGAAGAGGAGTAAACGAGTAAGTAACATTACAGTTTTGCTGTAAGGCTGCAGGAATGAATCGACAGCATCTGTCTAATCTCTGATGGGTTTTATTTCCTGTTTGTCTGAATGATGCTGCACTGACATTTCTCTCAAACTGTTCTCTCTTCCCCTTTACGTGAATGCATTTCTAGGGTGTATTTAGAAGAGTGAATTAATGCATAGTGCGCTTGTCTCTTTAACATAAAATGTACGTTGTTTTTAAAATAATATTTAAGGATAGTGAATGTTGGCCTGCAGTGTGATCTGAGCATCTGAAACAAACAGCATGGTTCTGTGAGGGGGGGGGAAGTCAAGTTTGGCCTACAGCAGAGTAACTACTGTAACATGATGCAAGGCCGTCTGTTCGCCTGTTCTCCCTCCATCATCCTTCTTTTTCTGTGTGTGCGCAGGTTCAAAGTGAGGACAGTGTGCTGCTGTTTGTCACAGCCTGGACTGTCACAGAGATCATCCGCTACTCCTTCTACACCTTCAGCCTGCTCAATCACCTGCCATACCTCATCAAATGGGCTAGGTAAGAAATAATTAAAGAGTATTTTCATCCAATGGAGGACTGAAAGTGCTAAAAGTAAGAATAAAAGATGAAATAATAAACAACAACCTGAAGTAAAGTAATAAAAAAGGCATTAATAATTTCTTTAAATTCTTAATATTTAATCTGTTTCCTGTGTTTAAATATATTTTCATCATCATCTTAAGAATTACATGATTAATGATTTTTTTAAAAATATATTTATTTATGTTTTGCTTTGCATATTTTATCTCATTTTTCTTAACTTATTTCCCTTTGTTTGCTTATGTTTATTCATGCTTTTTTTTTTGCATATTATCAAAATGATAATATGCAAATTCAAATTTATTGAATTGCATTGTGGCTCAACCTTTTACCTATTGGTTGATCGATGCAAAGATAAACAGAAATGGCTGACTGGAGTCAGGTCCTTAGAGAACAAAGACACCAAGCTGCTAATATGCTTTCAGTCAGGACAAATTTCAATCTGTTAATAATTACATAAAAAATGCAATAAAAATAGACTCCTTGGGTGTTCCACTGTTAGTTCTCAGCCTGTTTTCCAAACAAAATAATAAATGTAATTAATGTAATTAAAGGGAAATAATTGATTATTGTTTTTGTTTACTTGACCTCTTTTCAAACCTAATTCAATCCTTTATGAATGAAAATCTTAAGGTTGTATTACGTGAAAAGAAGATGCTAAAGCAGTAAGGAGTCGCTGTTCATCACATTACGTCAAACGCTGCCAAATTATTTCGTCGATGTCATCAAACATGCAGAAAAGCTTGTGCTTCAACAATTAAAACACAAGCCTCTCTCTGTCTGCATCTACAACCAAGGCAACAGTTGTTAAGAGCCTCCCTCCCCGAGGTCTTTGTTGCTAGGAAGCAAATGGGACCATTGCTATATTGGTGTTCAACTCTGAGTTTGACGTGAGCCCTGAGAGACAGAAATTTGTTGTGCATTTGTGGAAAATTCATTGTGGGATCACGGAAGACAGTCGCTGGGTTTGGAGTGCAAGTTATAGAAGAGACAGATGAAGAGTTTTCTCTCTGTAGAAGACAACCTCTTCATTGTGTGCACGTGTCATATTTAATTGCAAACTTTGCTTCTTTCTGTTTAAAACGTGTGATTGCTTAACACTTCAATGATTTAGGATCTTTTTGAGTTGCATATTTTGCACCTGCTGTTGCTTTATGTTTGTGTCACAGTATATATTTAAATCATGTCAATGATTTCTGCGTGATTTCAGATTTAATACTCTAAATGCTGCTTTGCATTATTACTCTTAATGTTTTCTATCACCTCTTACTTAGTGTTTTAGGGAATGATTTACTACGATACTGCTTCCTGTTACTAAAACAGCAAATAAACGATAAAGTGATGAGGCTAATTGTTTCTTTCCCTTCCCCTCTCATTAATAAACCTCTGTACTGTAGGTACACCTTCTTCATCGTGTTGTATCCCATGGGAGTGACTGGGGAACTGCTGACTATCTATGCAGCGCTGCCATACGTGCAGAAGACAGGCCTGTACTCTGTTACCTTACCCAACAAGTACAACTTCTCTTTCGACTACTACACCTTCCTCATCCTCATCATGATTTCCTACATTCCCCGTAAGTCAAAGGCGAGACTTTCCATTCTACCTTGTGTAGTGAAATAGCCCATTGTTCATTTGCAGTTTTTTTTTTGCATCAGAAACTGATCAATAAATGCCATTTTAGACATTTAGTTTTGAAAAATATTTGCAGACTCCTAATCAAACATGCAGAGCTCCCTGTGGGAGGATTCTCAGTCACATCTTCAGATGGCTTTTTGCATGTTGCAAAGCATTTCTCACTCTCATAACTTCATTTAGAGGCTTTTACTTTTTCACTTAGGAGAGATATAGTACTAAAGTGCTAAATTAAAAAAGTCTTCCCTTTTCTTTTGAACAGGGAAGGCAGTTTTGCCCTTAAAACACTAGAAATCTGCTTATGTATGCGAATTGCACTTAAGGATTCACTACTGTTGGTTGGTGACTGCTATGAGCTGAGTGCTGCTTGTTTGTGGCCACCCTAATATTTACACATTTCACAACAGAGAGCCTGTAAAACTGAGAAAAGAACTAAAGATGGCATGAAAAGTTAGGAAATGTGTGTTTGGTTGGATATTTCTTTGTTGCAATAATACTTCTTGGCAATAAATCTGATGTTGCCATGTTTAAATTGAAGGTTTCGGGGCTGCAGCTACCAAATAGGATGTTGATGAGTGAGAAGTGATGGACTTATGTTATCAACCTTGTCAACAACAGTGAAAGGGATTTTGGTCCTAGTTGTCTCTGACAGCCCAGTTATTTACGATCTCTATCTGAAGAAAATGTTTTTTGTATCCTAGCAACAATAAGTGCTGAGAGAAGGGTGCTGAAAATGAGGTCATGGCTGCTTTCAGCTGCCTGTGGACACAGACCCATAATGACATAAGCTATTACATAATTAGTGGGGTTTTTAAAAGAAAAAATAAACGCGCATATCAAAGGCATAATTACAATATTATGCACTCAGTGGTCACATTATTAGATATGCATGTGGAATCTTTTACAACTGGTTATAGTTTTCCCCTTTTTGTGGTATTGTAGGAAATGTGTAGATAGAAAGTTGGTTCATATTTTGTTGTTGTTGTTTAGTGGTCTGTGTGTAATTTCTCAGTGGTGAACGTGTTCTCTTAAGCACTCAATATCTGCACTTTGACTTAACTGTAACTTGAATAGGAGTTGGTGCACTGATCTGCATTTATTGGAGAATGTATTAATTTGTTCTTTCCCCCTGCCTCTCCCAGTCTTTCCCCAGCTCTACTTCCACATGATCCGGCAGAGGAAGAAGGTGCTGGGTCACATAGAGGACTACGGCAAAGTGGAGTGAGCCCAGCGGCATTCAGCAAGATTCAAACGAGGGGGGAGAAAATGAAAAAAGAAACCAAAACATCAAATAAACGAGGAACAAAATTACGCTTATTGGAAACCCGACCAGGTTTAAACTGCCAGAACTGACCTGGCAGACGGTCCAATTATCAAGTAACTTTCTTTAATACAGCCGTTGTTTTGGTTGTACACAAAGAACTGGTGTTATCTTTTTGTTTTGTTTTTTCTCTTTTATATTATTCATGAACAAACTTACAGAGCTACTTTTGTTTAGTCAGAGAGCTTGCAGCTGTGAAGGATCTGTATTTTGACTTGGGTACAGTTGAGCAGCTGTCTGAGCAGTGAGCAGAGCTCACTGCTCAGACAGTGAAGCTTGATTCGAATTATACAGTGATATAATTCATACCTCTCCCCGCTTCCCTTCCCCTCTTTTTAAATGAAACTTAAAAAAAAAAAGTAGAGTAGATTTGTTGCCTCCCCACGACTCGTTTTTTGGTTTCTTTTAAGACGCTTTGCTTTAGAAAGAACGATGTGAAGTCTAATACTGAAAATTGGTGTCTGTAGGTTTTGCAGGTACAGTGTTCGTTGCTGCAAACTGTGGTCCAGATGTTTGTGTTCTGTCATTTATTTTATTTAAAAGTTTGATTACATTCCTGATTTAGTTCAATAAACCTTTCATTCCATGCTTGCATGCTTGGGTTTTCCTGTCCATTTTATTCCTCTCAGCCGTTGTTTGCTTGTTTGTGGTTGTGGAGTCTGCCTCAGCTTAGTTTATGTTTACTCTCTAAAAGCTTTAAAAGTTTCCTGGCTTTTCAAGTGATGACTGTGAGCCGTGTCCTTTGATTTCTTCATTGTTTGATGTCCAGGTGGTTCAGACACTAATTCCTGTGACTAGACAAGTCCCGTTTTTGTTTTTTTTCCTGTGCACATCCATCATTTTTCTGCCTTTTGTTTCTTTAATCTGTTGGATGTTTATAGCATTGTTAGCTTCATTTAAATTATACTTTAAGCGTCAAGATTAAAGCATTCCTGCTCCTTTAAGCTCCTAGTGTGTACCCCACCTCTTACAAACACAGTCCGTGTGTCTTAAAGGGGATGTTTTAAAAAGAAAACACTTACAAAAGAAGTTATTTTGGCATAAGATACGGGACACTTAAGCAAAAAATAAAAAGAGCAGATAGCACAATCTGTAGTAGCAACAGTGTTTTGGGATGAAATAAGCTTTGATAATGTAAAACTGCATTGTAGCCTAAATATGTGTTGGAGTTTTCACTTTTATTTAAAAAAATCCAGATTGGGGTCTGTGTAGTTTGGTAAATACGCTTGGTGGTTATTATTTATGTAGAGGATTGTAAACTAAAGTACTTTTCATATGTGACAGCTACATGGCATTACAGGAGTAATGATTTTCTCCTGTGGGGTTTTTTTTTTTTTTTTTTTTGGACACAACGTTACATTTGAGCATTATGATCCTGAATGCTTGATATTTTCGTTGGACTCAGGTGGCACTGTAACACCAGGCTCGAGATTACCTTTGAGTTAAAACCTAATGCTTGCAGTAACTGCCTTTAAGCACCTCATCAGCAAAGCAGTATCAGCAAAAAAGAAATAAGTATTTAAATAAAAACTCCTTTTTTGTCATATCTCTGGTGATAACTAGCCATGCACAGATTTGTTGGTTTCACAGTATCTGAGATTTCTGCCTCCATCACAGTGCATTAGAGGTACTTTGGATTTTTGTTGTGGTTCCCAGAGAAATGTCACAGAAGCAAAAAAAAAACAAACCCAAGTTTCCAAGTTTTTCTGAATCAGTAATTGATGATAGGTTTTTAAATACACACAGAACCACCCATAGTGCGATGCAGCCCCTTAATAAGTTACATGCATGTTTTATAATTCACAGGAAAAAATGCTCCCTTGGTCACACCATGTGGTTTTTGATTTACTGCCCTGATTACTTTTGGAAGTCTGTAGTTAAAATAAAACTTGAGGCTGAAATCTCAGAAACAACTATCTCTTAATTTGAGGGGATTTGTGTACATCATGCTCCATTATGCTGTTTCTTCTAAAAGTCAGTGTCACGGATTACAAACAACACAAATTATGCTGCTAAAGTTCAGCTTGCTGTCACGATCCTAAACCACTCCTTTATCCTAGCAATGTAAGCACCGAGTGGCTGTAATGTCAAAACCAGCCTTTGTTCTCCTTTTATTCCCCACATTATTCTCCTGAAATGATAGAGCATGATCAGGAACATTTGTTGGACATGTCTTGCAGAAGCACAAGTGCAGCTTGCTGTAAAACTGCATGAAAGAGGAGATCTGGCTGTCTGCAGGAATGATGATCTATGTTATTAATCTCAGTTTAGAAAAGAAAGAAAAGACACAATACAGAAGCATGGTGTGTTACTCCAGAATTGGTTTTCCTGAATAAAGTTTTGATACAAATGTTTTGCATGGGGCCAGCAGACTTTGTGCAGGTGTGAATAACAAGTATATATTTACAATAAAGCTACAATATGAGAATCATATTTGCTATTTTCATGTATAAATGCATAAACATGACTACCATGCACCTGTACACAAATAGCCCTAATGGACCATTGATGGTGCCTGTGAATTATAATGCCTTTCTCATAATTTTGGGGGGGAAATGGCTTGTTTTGTGTGTGCATATGTGTGTTCGCGCGCCTTAATGTACCAGTGACTCACTCATACACTATGTAGGTGGGAACATTGTCTGTTGTATAATATAGCAGCATTGGACGGCTTTACCAGCTAAATACAAGCCAAAACCAAGTTGCCCATTAGCCTGACGCTGTAATGAAAATGGACGGGGTGCATAAAGCTGGGCAGGATAAGCACTAATCAGCGTGACCGCCTTCCTCATTTGCGCTGCTGTTAACATATCATGCCTTTGGACGTGACGTCTGTGGTGCAAATACTTTGCAGGCTTGGGCCCAATCGAAATGAACTGAAAAGTAAGCCTGCTGACACTGTGCACCACTGTCAGTGTGATCTAATGATACATAACATGCAAATATAAAGATGTGCTGTACACAAATAAAAGGCTATATTTATATGACGAGGAAGTGAGTGCAGAGTAAACAGGGGCATTTGTATTATTAAGAATGAAACTACAGACAGCTTAAAATAAAAGAAAGTTGTTGTTTTTTTTAAATATAACACATGGACAAAATTTGCAAAATGCTCTCATACTGGATAAATGTTATAATGACCCATGGGTCTGTCTGTAGGAGGCACGTCTGTTATGGACTCGTTCAGTAACTAAACAGGAAGATTTTACAAAGATCGAACAATATCGAACCAAACAGGCAGCAATATTCTGTTAAGTTATGAAGAGCTGAAACCTAGAGCCCCAACTTTGTTGTTGTTGTTGTTGTTGTTTGTTTTTTAGTAAATTTCAGACTTTCCTAGTGAACTGCAAAATCTCTCAAACCTTACAGCCCCAGCTGGTTAGTGTAAGATATCTGTTAAAAGCAAACAGAAAAAACTGGTATTTCTATATATACAGTCAGGGTAAAAACAAAAGTACAAACTCCACATAAGGGCAAAATGGTCCTTACCAGATCTAAAAAAATAAGTAAATACAACCTCACATGACATTTTACACCATGTGATTATTTCTTTCTTTTACAAAAAGCCAGGTTACAGAAGCAGTGTGTGAAAACCAAAGTAAACTTTTAAAGCTTCAGCAGGAATTAAGAGGTAAGTAGCAGGTACTGCTAAGCAAATGCACTTAATTAACAGATCATAATTTCACAGTTTGCAGCTCTGAAGCATTCAGGTGTGTGCCAACACAATGTCAGTTTGTGAAATGCTGTGCAACCTTCAGAGGGCTGTGAATGAACGAATGCCTGCAGATTTCAATGCACTGAAGCGACATTGTAAAAAGAGAGAGGGCCAAAATTCCTCCGCAATCATGTGAGAGACTGATAAAGCCATACAGCAAACCAATCATTCAACTTGGTGCTGCTTAAAGTGTTGTACAAGGTGTTGATGGGGAGCAGTTAGTTTTCCACACAAAGCTTCTGCTTGGCTTAGTTTCTGTTAAATAACTAATGACATAATGTAACATTATAATATATAATGTTTTGTAGTTTATCTGACATTATATTTACCTTTCAGACCTGGTAAGGACCACACGATTTTTTATTATGTCCTGGAAAAAAACACAATAACAACAACAACAAAAACTTTCTGCAAGATGTGTATGTAAATACCATCACTTAGCAACAGCAAAGGGCCCTGTCAACTGCTACAAGTGTTAAAATTGTTGATGACAGCTGAATACGAAATGTTTTTTTTACTTCAACATCATCAGAAATATCTGCTTTAACGATCCCCTATACTTACATCTTTCTCTGAAGGTACACATTTTAGCCAATACAACCAAAACCTAAGTACTGATACTTGCTAGCCCATAATAACACACTTTAACCTACTAAGACCCGAACTTTTTCATGGCATGAAATTTTAATATCTCTTTGCTATTTGGGCTGATTGAGACCTGATGAATGGAAAAACAAAGAATGATCTTTTTACCTGATGTAGTTTCTGAGAAAAATTATATCCACCTGAGGACGTTTGTTTTAAATTTCGATAGAACATTATAAAGTCACAATTAAGTAATGATGTGCAAAACTCTTTATTTGGTGTCTGAACACAGCAGCGTTTTTCCTGAGTACAAAAACTAAATGAGAAACAACAATTGTGCAGCTTTGAAGTGCTGCTAACAGTTGCAGGAAGACGTACGCCTGCAACAAAGTCAAAAAACGTAAAAGATTTCAGAACATTGCATGAAACACGAAACATTTCAGGTAGCAGTGTAATGTCGTCGTGAGTGGATATCAGGCCCTTGTATAGCAAAATTAAGTATGTCCACATATGTGATGTCCACATATGTGGATGCCAGGTCCTAGGAGGTTAAGACTGTCTAATGTTATTCTATCTAATGCAGGATTCACAAAGACTGGCTGGGATTTAAAACCTCATATCTGAAATACTCTAGTAAGTGAGTGTGAACTTAATTTATTGGATAAACAGATAGTATCTCTGACTGTATATGTAGGGCTGTGTGTTTGTGTGTGTGCGTGTGTTCGTACAGGTGAGACTGTAAAGGCTGCTCTCTACACCAGGATGAGTCACACAACACTGCAGTCCTCCTCATTTTCTCCTTTCCGAGGAAAAGAGAGACAGAGAAACCAGCGCAGACTGAATTCTCCTCCTGTGGGTGAGGGCCTCTTCACCGCGGTGTCACTTCTTCACGACACAGTATCTTTGTGTCGTTCTGCGTCTTTACTCAATTCAGCCGACACATCCCCTGTAAGTCTGAAATAACTGACGTTATTTTAGACAACAGCGAATGGTTTATGTGGGCGTTATGATGTTCAGCAAAGCATCAGCACAGCACATAATAACCGATTCAGTGGATCAGTGCTGCTGCTCACCGAGGCTGGTTTTCTGCTGCCTCAAACGCTGCCTCTAATTGAAACAGGGTTGAGTTTTGATTATTCTTCTTTGTGCTGCTGAACAAGCCGTGGCAGTAATTCAGTGCACCGGGATCAGGTTAGAGTCATCCCTCTGCTAGCTGCATGTCCTGGGTGACTCATTTCTCTCTCGTTTCTTTCTCATCACCCTTACTTTTGTCCGTCTCTATTGGAAATTCACA